TCATGTTGAATTCGAATCTTCAGTGCTTTCCAAACTTTGGATCAAGAAGATCTACTTTTTATTTTTCAATACATACATACATTTATTTCTTTTCGGCTCGATTCATGTTCAAATCTTCTGTTTTGTTCTGATTAAAATACGATCCATTAAGCCTATGAGCAATAAAAGGCCCAACAACACATGCTTAAAACAAGAACACAAGCCCGAAACTCAAAAGCAAAGGCCACGCACCGAAAATTATACAAAGCAAAACTAAAATTTGAGTAGCAACCTAAACCCAGCATTTCCTAACTAAAGCCAGACTAATTTCCCAACTTAATTTTATGTCTCCCCCTAATCCTGTAATGAGACTCCAGCGTCAACAAATGCGAAACTTAAACCCAAGCTATGACTTTTGAAGAATTTCAAGAGAATGTTAGAATTATAATGTCACATTTCGTGTATATATATATATATATATATATATATATTCTCTTCTAATCAATTCAAAAGAAAATTGTATGTAGTTGTTGGAGTAGAAAATTTCGGGTCCTCCAACAAGTAATTTGATTTCCATGTTGAGAAGTCGGACACTATTTCGATTGCCATCAGTGAAGGAGGGGGGTACCTACAAAAAAACACTCCGACGCTCAAGTCAATAAGAGTATAATTGCAGGAGAGTTTAGAATAGTATTGCACCTCATATTTTTGCCCCGAGATGTTGTGTTAATTGACCTTTTATAGGCAGTGGAGTCTTAGGCTCCAACTCCCACATCCCTTATTTCCCTCCATGATTCAGGATAATGGATGTCATGTTACTTGATTTTCTCCATTCCCCCAAGTTTAGGATGTATGAGTAGTGGGTTATTGTTTACGGAGTAAAATTTGCTCCCACACATGCCCCCTTTTCTCTCTTCAGATACCCTTTGTTCTCGGGTGTGAAGAGATAAAATATTTATTGTAGGAATTCGTTTCATGTGAGATTTCAAGAGATATCAAGTAATGTAATAAATACATTTGTTAACTAAGGAACATGAGAAAATATCTTGGAATTTAGAAGCAAACTAAATTTGTTACCTCTTGACCACAGCTAAACAACGATTCATGAGTAAAGCACCGCCCTAAGAAATCCTTGATCCACAAGTCCTTGAGTTATGATATGTATTGTCAAATTTGGTGAAACTTGGTTTGGATCGGCAAAGAATCCAATTGATTAGGATTAACTAAGGATCCAATTGATGGGCTCGAGAGGATTGATAACTTTGAGATGATGTAAGGATTGGCTTGGATCCGATTGATGGTTCCTAGAGGATTGATAACCCTAAGGTGATGTAGGGATCGACATGGATCCAATTGATTATCGTCAGGGGATTGGTAACCCCTGGGGTGATGTAAGGATCGGCATGAACTCAATTGATTGCCCTTAGAGGATTGGTAACCTTAGGGTGATGTTGGGATCGATATGGATCCAATTGATTGCCCCCAGAGGATTGGTAACCCCGGGGGTGATATAGGGATCGGCATGGACCCAATTGATCGCCCCTAGAAGATTGGTAACCTCATGGTGATGTTGGGATCGTCATGGATCCAATTGATTGCCCCTAGGGGATTGGTAATCCCCAGGGTGATGTAGGGATCGGCATGGACCCAATTGATCCCCCTAGAGGATTGGTAACCTCAGGGTGATGTTTGGATCGGCATGGATCCAATTGATTGCCCCTAGGAGATTGGTAACCCCCGGGATGGTGTAGGGATCGACATGGACCCAATTGATTCTCCCAGAGGATTGGTAACCCCCGGGATAGTGTAGGGATTGACATGAACCCAATTGATTGCCCCCAGAGAATTGGTAACCCCCGGGGTGATGTAGGGATCGGCATGGATCCGATAATATTGTTAGGTAATTGATATGAACCAAAATAGTTTGTGGAGTTCTGAGACATCAGCTCGTGGAGTGTCGTGGCTTTGGCACACACACTTCTCCTTATCTTCAATTTATCATCAACTTAGTTGATTTTTGTTGGCTTTTGAAATATAATTTGGATATGCTCCCTGCTTGTAGACCTTGTTTGACATTCTCATTGCACCTGCCTATGTCACGCTGAGTTTCAAATCGTATATATATATATTTTTGTCAATTATCAAAATCATAAATCGTGGTGACTAAAGAGGCATAGAGTACAATTTTCTTAATTAGATTTGTAATCATTTTTCAAGCAAATTGGAAATTGAACTTAGGGTTAACCAAATGAATATAAAAAAGACATATAAAAGGTCTTCCACGAGATGAACAATTAATTCTTGCAAGACTCAAATTGGGTGCATAAGCACTTGATGAGTATACGATTATCAAATTAGTATAGAAAAACACTACACTAAGAATTTCAAGAAAAATAATAGTTGAGCTAGTCCATATGTGTCGACAGTATAAGCTAACTATATTGAAAAGATAACCAAGAATTATTAGGATATAACCTCCATGATAGACTTAAGCAATAATATATGTAGAAATCTTTTAAAAAGAAACACAGTCAGAGTAAAGCATATCTCGACTTGGAAACCAGCCAAGTTACTTGCACTAGGCATATGTAAAAATTGTTTCACTTGTTACTGTAGCAATTAGTAGCATTCAATTTAGCTATAATTTTACTTAGGCAAAAGCCAAGTTAATTGACTAGGTGCATACTCTTTGAACATCTTTCAATGAATATAAAGGTTCCGAATCATGTTAAACTGCACTTGACATAGGCATCTAATCGGTATGCACATAAGTATAGATAATAACATGTCTGTTAATGACCATTAGAAATGTGTGAAATCATATTATGTGAAAGTCAAAGTGGATTGAGAGACGTTGACTGAGTGGCTTGCATCGGTTATAGTAGTGGGCCACATGCAAGAGTTTCAACAATATAGTACGTGGTTCCCAGTATCAATTTTGAGGACTAAATTGAGCACAATTAATGTTGAACACAAAGGGTGAGCAGCGAGCACAAGACCCCATTGTGGGCTGGAACTGGATGCAGGAAATATTTGTTTAAATATGCTCCATCATTTTAGCCGAAGAAAGAAAGTTATGTAGCAAGCAATTAACGTTTGCACACATGCTGCCAATGCTATAATTAGTATTAGCACCGAATGATGATATATAGCATATGTGCGTCCAGGGCACTTGGCCAGACGTACGATGAAGCACAAGCTTGTACTCCTTTCCTCATATGTACGCCCAGAGTTTTTATTAATGGATCCCTCAAATAATTTTATTTGAGGGACACCCTTTAGGGTACTCTACAAATTTTTTTTCAATGATCCAAACCGTTCTATTTTTTAAGTCTATATTCATAGATCATCCTTGCAAAAAAATTAGATAAATTGGAAACCGTTTCGACATCCAATTGTGTCCTACAAAATCAATGAACACGGTACTTTAAGAAAGTATTAAAATTTCAAGAACTCGATTCAATGGGCAAATGATATCGGATTCAAGTGATTTTTTTGTAGAGATGATCTTTGAATGATTATCTAACAAATAGACGGTTTGGATTAGTGGAATACAATGTGGAGTGGGGCCCTACAAGGGTGTCCCTCAAATAAGTATTTGAGGGATTCCTTAAATGGAAGCTCCATGTATATATATATATTACATACGTACGACGTCACACGTGTGTATCTGGGGAAGGGAATAGTCGCATCAAAGTGAATTTGTATTGAGGTTTGATTCTGGAACTTCATCACCTCATGCCATTTGAACACCAATAACTTCCAGATTTAATAACATAGGATACTTAGAAATTAAACCATATTATATATAGTAAATGCCATATCAGTAAGAAACTGAGTATTGAGCACATCTCAGGATGAGATTTTGAAATATCAGCAAGGCGTTTGAGGAAGGCCTTCATCAACTTTTGATATGCCATACTTATGATTAAAAACCTGCTGCACTGCACCTTGAGATAAGATCTTCCACCAACGCTTATCCCAATGCTAAACGTGCTACGTACAGCCTAAATAATTAGCTTGATTTAAACAAGCAACACAATCAAAAGTACAAATTATTGCAGGGTCATGAACCAGGAGTGTCAAGATGAGAAGCTCTTTTTCCGATGAACGAGTGAGTTACTGAGAACGGTGAGGTTTTGGTTTTGGTACAAGGAAGGGTATCCAAGCAAGCATTGTGTTATGAGCACAGGGTTGCTCTTTGCTTTTTCTATTTTCAATGTCTTTTATAAAAGATTTAAAAAAAAAAAAATCCAAGTTAAAATAAAGTTTTAATGAAGAAAAACATCACACATGAACATTTTGTATATTGCGTTGTGTCTTTCTGACTCTTTACTCGCACAAGGCATACAAAAGAATCAATCGGATTTCTCATCACCTGCAATTATACAATTTCCTATCTTTTTATGAGGTTGGGAGATTTATTGTAAACATTCTCAATTGAAAATTTGAATTTGGAATTAAATCTGAAAAGATTGTAAAAACACAACTTAAACATGTCTTGATTCTTCACATTTTGTTTTATTTTAACAAAAACAAACAAATAACATCCAAAAGCATCATTGATAAACAAATGCGAGAAGATAGTGAGCTATCTCATCTCAAAATTGTTGTATTGAAAACGCGGCTATAATCAAATAATTACCCACGAATGCAAAAACAAGGACCCAATATTAGTAATAAACCAAAAAACATATCTAGAATAGATGGAATGGGAAACCAATTCCTTCTTACGAGTCGGCATTGATTAATGAATTTATTCAGAACATGAAAAATTCTAGACATATTCAAGCCAAGCTTGAGCTCTCTCTCTCTCTTTTACTTGTCTTCTTAGCAATTTTCCGTCTTCTTCGAAATTTTTTGTGAGGAAATTCACAGAGAAACAGGTGAGGAAGTAAAATTTGGTAAAATGTATTATCCAAAGTGATTCATGTTTATATCCACCTATATATATATATATATATATATATATATATATATAAACATGAATCACTTTGGATAATACATTTTACCAAATTTTACTTCCTCACCTGTTGCTCTGTGAATTTCCTCATACTCTCCTGTTCCTTTTGGTACATATACTCCCGCATCTGCAACAATCCAGTACAAAACTGTTTCAGTACAAAAACTACAGCAATTTTTTTGACTCCATTAACAATCCCTTCACATATCACATTAGAATAGCATTCTTAAAGATGACCAGCAGAGCCTTGATATTTCCAGAGCAAGACCTAGACAAACATTGTGTTGTGTGTGCGTAACACGTCATTTGTGGTCTGTCTAATAATATGAATAACAAGGACCCCATGCAATGGTCGAAAGCTCTCCTGCAACAATCAGATATTCAAACTCCGGTCTGATTATAACATTTGCAAACAAGATATTGAATTAATGCCACTTAACATTGGCAGCATATTTACTGGATGACATGGTTGACCAGTGGAACCAGATGTATGTTTCCAAGACACGGTTCATCAAACAGATATACGAATAATAGACATCTGAAAAGCAATTAAGGTGCTAAATATACACACCAAGACCAGACAAAATGGGGAATATGTTACCATCTCAGGCTCATAGTCAACCAACAACAATCAAGAACCCAAAGAAGGTGATTGCAACAATATTTACAAACAAGAAGCTAATAAAGCATACCAAATACATGGTTATTATTTCCTCACCTCTTGTGTCCAGTCGTTAGGATCGTCAGGGATGGATGCCTCGAATTCTTCAATAGTACGAGGAGCACGCTACAACAATCATAGATGCAAAATTTAATTCCAAAGTGATATTATAACGTTTACAAACAAACAAGAAATAAATGCATGCATCTCAACACCGGCTCATCTACTTGATTACACAGATGACCACTGAACCCAGATGTAGATTTTTCTGGAGCAGAGAAAAAGCTTTTGTATGTGCTTAATATGCAAATAATAAACCTTAATCTACTTTCATTAATATCAAGTGATTTATTAGATGGCAAATCTTGAAAAGAAGACGAGGGAAACTGGGAATCAACACCTAAACAAGTGCACAACTTGTTAAAGAGACAAGTGACAAGTTTTAGTTACCGATTCAACAAGTGCACAAAATCTGGAGATGGACTTCATAGCCCTATGGCGTTCCTCGTCCGTGTCGCAATGTTTCTTCACTGACCTTTCAAAGATGTCACGACTTAAACCAAGAAAATAAT